TGTACTTGCAACTGGTCGCACAAACAGTTTAATCAGGTTTTGTCACATGTAATGCTGAGCCAGAAAACTGGGCCATTGTTATATGTTTATATTTGATCAACCTTTGTTTCTATCCTGGATTAGGACATGGGCTAGATAAAAATCTGGATTTCCAATCTCATAACTCTTGAATGTATGCAAAACTGAGGATAGCAAGTCAGGTATTTTGTTTTAGAAAAACATTATGAGTAGTGGTCATCTAGAATGATGACCAGATGGAGCATCATCAAAGAGATATTAAAGCTGTGCTTCCCCCATTTGGAGATGGTGTTCCAATGACCTTGCTGCTCTAATTAGTTATCACATGTTCTCATCTCTATGCAAGGGAAGTCATTTTTCAAAGCAGTGCTCAGAGTAGACATTTGGCAATTCAAGCCACACCAAGTATCTCAAGATCTTGATGTTCTCTTCAGTCGTTGAATATCTTAACATTATTTAGGCCTTGTATACCACATTGTACAATCCAGCCTGGCTTAGTATTAGTAATGTCAGAATGACAAACAGATGGGATTGCTGAGGTTTATGGCAGCAAGTTTCAAGCGCCACATTTTAAACTATGCATTTTTGTTGGTGGTCTCTAATTTTGCCCTCTGAATCATTGAACAGGGCATGTGTGAAGGTCCACAAAAGGGATGGGGATCGTGTGGACAATTGATGTTGGACTCCAGCTCCCATTCTCCCCATCCAACATAGCCAATGGCCAGATATGATGGGAACTGTAGTCTATCAACATCTGGAGGGCCACATGTGCCCCATCCCTGAACTATATATTCTTGGAAGCTTATATCGGAAGGGTGATATTCACTGTTATGTAAGCAGAAGGCATGCTTGGGCCATGGCTCTTTTCTGTCTGCTGCAGTCTTTTGTGCCCCTCTAAAAGCTTCTCCAGAGGAAAGGTGAAGTGGTTCAGAGTGTGGGACTGGGACGCTGGAGATTTGGGTTCTAATCCTCACTCAGCTATGCAGTTAACTGGGTGACTTTGGGCCAGACAGACTCTCAGCCCAACCTACTTCACAGGGTTGTTATGATGATAGGATTGACAAGAGCAGGAGAATTATGTAGGCTGATTTGAGTTCCTTGAAAGGAAGAAAAGGTGGGATGTAAATAAAAGAAATATGCATTGTGGACCATGTCTTACAAGGGTGCTGTGGGAAGGGAGGATTGCTGGCAAGATTCCTCTTTTAGATTTCTGTGTTTTTTGTAAAATGAATAGCATCCATAGGAATCCCCAATTTTTGTCATGACTGATGTCCAAGGAAGTGAGGTTTAACTCTTTATTTCCCTGTCATGGTCCCCATGATATTATCCCCCCTTCCACTTTGTAACTGTCGCTACTGGCACCAATTGACGTTTTGTAGATCCATGTCTGAGAGCAATTTTGGGTTTACGAGAAAAGTTCCCCTCCTCCCTCTCACAGACACAAACAAATGCAGCGGCCCCAGTGAAAAGCACTCCGACTGCACCTGCTGTTACCCAGCATGATCCCCAAGAATCGAGTTTGGCCCTGAAGTTATGAAGATACACAAAGGAACAGACGTCTACCTAGAGCAAAATGCATGGGCTGAACACTGACACATCTCATGAAACAGAAACTGCACTTTATCACATGTCCTTACACCTTTCCCAGTGCCCACCCACTTCCTTCCCCAGCTTTTGTCTGGAGCTGATGTCCTGCTATCAGTGCTCCACACATTATTTCCTGTGGGCATGTTTTGGGATTGCCTTGTATGGCATCGCTGGTTAAACTACCCTAATTTATACTGTGCCAGTGAGGTTGGCGATGAGTACAGACAATTTCAGGAGAAGTGGGAGACGGAATATTTTTTTGTTGAGCACAGGGGCATCCCGACGTGTCTTATATGCCCAGAGAAAGTTGCAGTGCACAAGGAGTACAACATTAGCTGTCATTACTCAACTAGACATGCTGAGGAGTATGCAAAATACCAGGGAGATGAGAGAGAGGACCATGTCGCCAAACTTAAAACATGTCTACTGAGACAACAAGATTTTTTCAAGAAAGCAAGCAAAGAGAGTGATGCGGCAGTCGAAGCCAGCTACGTAGTGAGTGAGATGATTGCTAAGGCAGGAAAGCCATTTAAAGACGGTGAGTTCATCAAAAAGTGCATGTTACAGGCTGCAAGTATAGACTGTCTGGAAAAAAAGGGTCAGTTTAGCAACATGAGCCTCTCAGCCAACACAGTGGCAGAGCGCATTTCTGACCTGTCAGGTAACATTTACGATCAACTGCATGAGAAAACTAAACATTTTCATGCATACTGAGTCGCTCTTGAGAGCACAGACATCATTGACACTGCGCAGGTCTCAATATATGTCCGTGGTGTTGACGACAATTTTGAAGTGATGGAAGATTACTCACAGTGATTCCAATGCATGGCCAGACCACCACTCAGGAGATATTCCGCCAGCTGTGTGATGCCATTGCAGATGCCAGCTTACTATGGAAGAGTTTTGCTGGAATAATAACTGACGGAGCGCCTTCAATGACAGGGAGGAGAAGTGGAGTCGTGGCATTTGTTCAAAGAAAATTGGAAAAAGAGGCTGTGGAAGAGGCCATTTCTCTGCACTGCATTATCCATCAGCGGGCCCTTTGCAGCAAATGCCTGAAGTTTGACAATGTGATGTCTGACGTTGTGAAATGCATCAACCATATCAGATCCAGGGGCTTAAAGCACCGGCAGTTCCGTGCCTTTTTAGAGGAAATAGAGTCAGCATATGAGGATGTGCTCTACTACACCAAGGTGCATTGGCTTAGTGGGGGAAATGTCTTGAAGAGGTTTTTTGAGTTGAGAGCAGAGGTGAAAACTTTCATGGAGAAAGATGGGATGGCTGTTCCTGTACTAAGAGATCCCAAATGGCTCATGGACTTAGCTTTTCTTGTTGACATCACACGGGAGCTGAATGTACTGAACAAGAAATTACAAGGCCAGGGGCAGTTTGTTAGTGCTGCCTATGACAATGTCAGAGCATTCTCCACAAAACTTGTGTTAGGGAAAGCCCAGCTTTCTCAGACAAACCTCTGCCATTTCCCAGCATGCAAGGCACACATGGATTCTGGCACACCATTCAGCGATGAGAAGTATGCTGATGCCATTGTAAAGCTACAGGAAGAATTTGATCACAGGTTTGCAGATTTCAAGACACACAGAGCCACTTTTCAAATTTTTGATGACCCCTTCTCCTTCGATGTGGAAGATGCCCCCCCCCCCCCGTGCTTCAAATGGAGCTAATTGACCTGCAGTGCAATTCTGAACTCAAAGCCAAGTTCAGGGAGGTGAGTGAGGGGAGGAAAAGCAGACAAGCTTGGACAATTTTTGATAGAATTGCTCCTTACCTTCCCTGAGCTTTCCAGGATGTTCAAGCGGACCATGTGCCTTTTTGGGAGCACCTATCTGTGTGAAAAGCTCTTCTCCACCATGAACTTTAATAAGTCAAAGTTCAGGTCCAAACTTACTGATGAACATCTTCAAGTCATACTGAGGGTCTCAGTTGCTTCCTCCCTCAAGCCAAATGTGGCTCAGCTGTGTAAGAGGAAGCGCTGTCAGGTCTCTGGAAGCAAGGAGTAGGAGGAAGTAAGAGAAGCCTATGTTCTGAAGAACCGTTCATGTTCTGAATTATTATTAGTAAAGATTGAGAAGATTGGATCAGTTGTACTTTTTTTTGGAATACTTGAAATCCTTTTTTTGTGGAATACTTGGTGCGGCCCAGCCTCACCCAGCCTCTACTTCCAGCGGCCCCCAGGTAAGTTGAGTTTGAGACCCCTGGTTTAGAACATAGTCACATTGTAGAGACCCAACTAAAAGCAAAGAATGGTGTTAGGCTACTGAATGCCTCTTTCTAAGAAAGATAGAAGCCTTCTTAAGTCACTACAGAGAAGGAAATAAACCTTGGAACATTAGTTATGAGAACACAGAATAGGGAAGATATGGGAAGCCAATTCAGTTGAAGGCAAATTTGAAACCAATGTGAATTAAAATTTAGCCAAAACCCTACAGTACACCACAGGGCATTTTTGGCTGAACTAAGAGGTATGACTGTACCACCCTTCCATTTTCCTGGGTCACCTTGAGGATACCTAAACAAATGATTGGGCAGGCTGCACCAGCTACTAGGAGAGCCAGGCCTTGGTAAAGCTATGCTGTCATGTCTGAGAAAGTTGGCTGGCTGCAGTGTTTTGGAATAATTCTTTTCCCCATCCCACACAGGCAGAACATGATGATAAAGATGTGGAAATTTAATAAACATGAATTAAACATAAAACCTACCTCATCTGCTGGTACAATTTGTGCTTCTTCCCAATCAAATCTGTTTTGATTTGGGACTATTATGGTGCAAAAACGTGTAATTACCAAATGCTCAAAAATCAATCCCGGGAGAGATCTTATGTCCCACCAGCCAGGCATGGCGGCGGCAGCGTGGGCCATTGGCACTTTTAGGGTTATCTATCGAGCAAAACCTGCCTGCTCACAGCTGTCCTGATGCCCCAGACCATGCTGGTTAATAAAAGTAGATGAAGCTGCCCAGGGATGATGTGCTGGGAATGTGCTTGCCAGTCAGTAAACACGCAGGGAAGAATCCCCTAGGCTCAGACGTGGCTGAAGGCAAAGCTGGGTCAGCTGAGCTGCATTCTGGGGCTCACCCGATCTGTCCCCCACAGTGTTTTGCCTACTTTTGTCTCCCTGTCAGGCCTGGTTAGTGCTTCCCAGGCAGCGCGCATTCCACTTCCATCCAGCAGTCTCCAGAGCTGGCCCGCTGCCACAGCATTTGTTGCCTTGGCTGCGTGTGCTGCACAGGGCAGTCCTTAGCAGCCATGCTCATCTGACTCTCTCGGGCTTGCATTCGGCCGCCTGCTCCTCCAGTAAACAGCGTAGGGAGGGAATGGCAGCACGAGCACAGAGCGGGGCCTGGCACCCGGGCACATGCACACAGCTGAGTGGGCCGGCCCTTTCGATTCACCTAGGCTGCGTCCCTGCAGCTGGAACAGAGTGGGTTTATTATTAACTCTCTGAAAGGCAGCAGTGGCAGCAGAAGCAGCAGCTTGAACAAGCTTGAAGTCGCTGGCTAATTAGCAGGTAAGAATTAATAGGCGCGAAGGAAGAACTCAGCAGCATTTGCTCTGCTGACAATGGAGCTATTCTCCAACAGAGCAGGGGCAAGCCCTTGGAAATGTGTGTGGTTAGCAGAATTGTGTAGGGCAGCCATTAATCACTGCAGTCTTTTCCTACATGGAGGAGTGGACAGGTTACATAACCACATTCCAGATCTTTCCATTTCCATTGCCTTCTGGGTGAAAGGATCAGGTGATTGTCACCGGAGGAGGTAAAGCTGAATACTGCTATTTCCACTCTTTTCATAGAGCCAGTAACTTTGCCACAATTTATTTTCTGGCAGGGTTCCTGTGGATTTTGCAGCTACTGAACATGCAGACATTCAACAGGTGCAGTGATACGCAAAGTGACACCTGTTTGTTTTTATTTATTGATTGCCATCATGCGATACAGATGTCCTGCCAGAAAAGTTGGGGGGGGGAGGGGCAGCCCAAATGGTGTGGGAAACCTTAGAAAGAAGATATAGATTATAAATTATGATACCGCCTCCTTCATGCCAATTGTTTCTGTGGTGTTTCACATGTTCAGAAAAAGTGTGTTATAGCCCTGTAGGGACCATACTACTTCAGAGTGGATGAGGGATGGTATGTTTGCATGCTCCCCCACTTTAAAAACTTCCAGCATGCAGGAATTGAATGTGTGTGAGAGAAGGCTACAGTTACCCTTCCTGACACAGGAAGTCTTTCCGGATGGGATTTTGGTGTGGAGAGAGCGCCACATGAAATCTTCTGTCGGGACTCTAAAATGGTAGTGTCTTAGGAGAATGATGCTCCATGCTTTTTTCAAACATACAGACAGAGGCTTTTATAGGACCAAATCTGAATACTTGGCTTCCTTTCACCCTTCCTGATAGGAAGCATACTGCACCATCTTTTTGCCATGCAGTGACTGAAAATGCAGGGGTCTCATGTAGTCAGCTGGCTCCCAGGTATATGGAGGGCACCAAAAATAAGTTTAGATGTACAGCTTCTTATGAATCCTGATTGAGCAACATTCCACCTAGTTCTCTGTCACAACTTTAATGGCTCAATTTGGCCTGAGCAAAGCATAATTAAGTTTTTGGCCAAATAATCAGTGTTGTTTGGCCTTTTCTGCCCTCCCTCCCCCTAGGGTTGCTTGGTCATGAAACTACTGTGGAACTCACAACCAGCAGACTTCCCTTTCTATGCAACAAAACTGCAGCTGTTCTGCAAGGCCAGATGCTATACTTAACCATCACATGTGTTTTTGTTTCCTTGGCCAACTGTCTGCAAAACCATCCTTGTCTTTTATATTGCCCTTTCATTACATTGAATACAAAGTTCTGGCCCAATTCTGTATTCTTATCTCTCCTTTCATGTTCCACCACACATAGTTTCCTCATAAACATTTATTTATGACAATTCTATGCTACCCCATCCAACTATGAGATGAATCAATTCCTAAAGGAAACCACATCCTTGAATTTACTAGAATGAAGCAGGGCTGAGATGAACAGAACATTTTGGAAGGCTTTCATCCTAGGCTTGCCATATGCAGATTAAAATCAACAAGCAGTAAGAACAATACCATTACAAACTGAGAAATAAAACCATAAAGCCCTGTAGATGCAGTAACAGCAGCGGGGTGGAGGAACTCTAAACAACCCCATAGTTCAAACACAGATTTTGAGACTGAGGAGCACAGTCACATCACTGAGGAGCTGGACAAATTATTTAAAATGATCAGGGAAAGAGGATCTTCACTGAACACCAACAACACCAAAAGGATGGTGCTGATTCTCTCTAGGGAAATGAGTGTCATTGCCAAAAAGGCCTCTTCCCTGGTGACCACCTACCTCACTTCTTTTGGTTGGGGGCCTTAGAGCAGGGGCTCTGAAGAATGTAAGGCAGGGGTCTCAAACTCAACTGACCTGGGGGCCGCTGGAAGTAGAGTCTGGGTGAGGCTGGGCCGCATCAAGTATTCCACCACCGCGGTGGGGGTGGGCCGCTCATCCTGCGGCCGGCCCGGGCGCTGCCGGCGCTTTGAAGGCTGCAGGGCCCTCCCCCGTGCCCCACCTGTCCCGGCAATTGGCCTGCGGGCCACGAGTTTGAGACCCCTGATGTAAGGTTTGGCTAGATACATGTGTTAGAAGTGGGGCTTGGCAGGTAACCTGGCCCCAAGCCTTAAAAACAGTTACATCCCCCATCTCCCAGTACAAACACACACCTTAAATTTGCCCCAGAAATAAATTGGGAGCCAGCACAACTGACGAAACGCAGGTATACCTAGGAGCAGGGCTAATTGAGGCTTAGCAGAGACCAAGCTATCCTGGTTACAGAAGCTGATAACAGGCACGGTACTCAGTCCTATAATGTCACAGTTGGAAAAATGGGCATCCTCAGACTGCAGGCTCAGTCCTTTGGAGAAGTGTGAACCCATCTAGTGCAGACTGGACATAATTCATGTCCCAAACAATATTACTTCCATCTTTTCTGGATGGGTCTCGGTATGTTCGCCTTCATTGCCTGTCTATAACCACACCCAAGCACTGTTTCAGGGTCCAGGAGTCAACTTAGGAAAAGAGAAAAAAGAGGGATTGCATCACCCAAAAAGAGAACAGAGGTTTGTATAACATTTGCAGAGGCTAACTTAAATGTATAGAGGCAGATTTAAAATTTATAATTTTAATAGAAATGCAGTAGAGTTCACCATAGCATAGAAAACTGACTAGGTGACCAGTGTGCCTGCCTGATCAGCTCTTGAGGGATCACAATTCTTATGGTTCTTTCTCTTTAAACTGGACTTGGGCTGGGTGGCCCTTCAAATAAAGAATGTCCTCAAGCAGAGGAAGGCCCTCTGTAACAGAGTATATGTGGCCGTCCTCTTTCAGGACAGTGCTGGCCTCACCTGCTTCTCATGAACGATGGAGAGAGCGAGGTGTCATCCTTAGACTGGTGACACAAATACACTCATCATGTTACGTCTTGAGCTTTTGGTGATGAGGCTGCTCTTCAGGATTGCACTGACTTGCCTTGAATCACAACAGCCCTGAATCCATCCATTTCCATTTAAAGAAAAACAGCCTTTCAAGCCACAATATCCTCTCCAGTTTCCTACAAATAAGAAAACTTCATAGAAATGACAGGTCTCTCTTCAAAATTATACCTGGCATAAATGTAACATGTTACAAAGTTAAAATACAGTTTTGTCCCATTTCCACAATTAGATTCTTTAAATTCCTATGAAATGTCCAAAATTTCCACCGTATATTTCCTAACTAGCCCAGAATATTCTGATGGACTTCCTTGGGTTTTCTCTGCCTTCATTCTTTCCTTCGCATGCATCATTTGGCTTCCTTAGATCCAGCACTTGATGTTTGCTTCAAAATCATTAGGTGTTTCAGGAAAAACAAATTGTTCCATACTGTGGATGTGAGTCAACAGATGTGTTTTTTGTGATGATTTTCTTGCCCTGATAATATGACTCTGCTTGGAACATTTTGTGAGTGCCTCTCCCTCTTTCATTTTGAAACAAGCATTAAACAGAATTCAAGAAGTATGCAATTTCAGTTCCTTCCATTTTTTTCCAGCAGGAAGCAAATAAGACAACGAAGGGAGAACTATTTCTTCCAAGGAACATTTCTCATTCCCCCCCCCGTAAAAAAAACAATGCATGGTTTAAAGTCAATGTTTTTCAGGAGCTGCAAAGTGCCCAGGCTCCTTTTGAGCATGCAAGTTGAAACCCTTATGGGCACAATGTGATGCACATGTACACAAAATAAAATGCTACAGGTCCTTGGCTGGCTGGGGAATGGTGGGAGCCGTAGGATTTTTTTCTGTCTAAGCATGCATAGGATTGCATCCGAAGTTGCATTTTTGTTCCACTTGATGTCATTGGTTATAACTTTTTATTATCACAATATAACAGGGCAAAATATTCAATACTGAAGTAAAAATGAACACATTAGACAAAGATCAAAGAAAATGAACAAAATCCTTAACACTGATTTCCAATATTTGTAGAAATACCACTTTACCAAACTAAGAATAAAACACACCAGAGTAATATCAAAAATTGTAACAAACTTCTGTAGTGCAACCTTTTATATTTGCCTTACTAAATCTGGCACAGAACAAAACTGATGCCATAAGGGAAGTAGCGGCTTATCCCAGAGTCTTTATGTTATTATCATAAAGCAAGAGGTCTGCTTTATATTAAGAAGGCAGAAGGCAGACTTAAGTTTTTAAAGTTGTGAACAGAAAATCATCTGATTTTTTGGGACATAGTAATTGCTAATTAGTCCCCCCCCCCGCCCATACAACTACATAATTTATTTTCTAGATAATCATGATGACAAAAGGCATAATCGCATCAAACAGCAGAAGTATCATCAGATATTCTCAGGTTAGCAGGCTCGTTTCCAGTCTGTAAATCTTCTGACTCCTACCAGATTGTGCATTGGCGCAATCTTTCCTATCGTGCTTTCCAGAAATGCAACCCCTTTGGTCCCTCCAAGCTACAACTAACTTTTTGTATCGCTTGAAAAGCAAAGTTGCTGGACTCATCAAAGTGGAAATGCTCAGGTGAAATGACAGCAGCAATACCAGTTAGGTCTAAGTATTGGATGGTCCTGGGAATACTATGATTTTCTTTGATCATGGCAAGTCTAAAAAAAAGTATTTTATCTTTTGCCAAGAGACCGTACTTTGCCATCCATCTTCATTAAAAATTGGGATGTATTTGCTGAGTCTGAGTCCAGCCTTTGCTCTTGGGAGATAAAGACAGAAGAGTAATGATTGTGTATGCTCTATTCTGCTGTCTCGTGTTATGATGGCGAGGAAAGAAAGTTAGGGTGAAAGCGCAACCATTTTCTTTCTAGCACTGCTTCTGGGTCTATATAGCAAGCACATGATAGGTAGAAAATTAGCATCATTCACTTAATTCTTCTATGCAGAAAATCTTTATCTCCTGAATCTTTCCCTTTTGTACAGGTCTTAATGGTA